ATGTTTTTTGAAAATATAACGAACCTTTAAACGCTATCGCTTTGGTTTCTTAGCGATAACAAAATATATTTTTTGCACAGGAAGATTTCTCGAAGACGGCGTAGGGCCCATTCCACGAAGAAACATGATATATAATTGCCAAACAGCTACACTTTGGTTTAACTTAGATATCTTAAGGAAAAACTGCCTTCTTCTTTGATTGTTTCCTTGTTTATGTTTCACTATTTTGAGTAAAATTCCCGCCAATTTGCAAAATTCGAGTCCACAATCATGTTAGAAATGCTTGTCAGCGGTAGTCAATCATTGCCTAGTTTATGCAATTTTGTGTTTAAACGCCCCACGCCCGGTTACTGTGCGTGATTAGTTAACTATCCGACTAACGACGTTTTGTGCAACGCAGTTAAGTCATGTAGTTAACTAACAACAGCTGTTAAGGATTTAACTACCTAACGGTAGTTAATTTAACGCTAACTGCAGTTAACTTTAACTACGTTTTTATATAACCGGCCCCTGCATTATGAGAGGGGGGGGAGGCGGAAGAATAACTCACTCTGTCTGGCACTGGAAGATCTAGTTGCTCTCGTGGAAATTATCCGGTAATAGGAAAAACATCTTCAGATATGACAACCAGACCATTTATAACTTTAAAGAAGAAAACGAGATCCATATACTCATGCCAGTACGATAACGGCATCAGTTACAAAGTGATCAGCCTTTCCCGGTAAGACTCATTGCACATGTAAGGAAGATTCAGTATGAACTTGGAAGCTCTTTTCTGGATACGTTCTGTTCGTTTTATAAGACCTATATGGACTGGGGCGACCATACCTGACTTGCATAGGCAAGAACAGGGCGAACCACTGACAGATAAAGTGTGCGACGAGTCCTTGTGTTGGTTTTTTCTGTACCGCTTCTCCTCACGAAGTTAACAGTTTGTTTGCTTTCGCACAACGTTCTAGAACGTGCTTGGTCCACGTAAGGTCACAAGCAAGCCAAATTCACAGGTCCTTTTCGGCTGATGTTGTTCTAAATTCGTTGTCCTTGATCATGTACGGATAAATAATGGGCTTGGTTTTCCTTGTCACACGGAGACATTTACACTTGAGTTGGTTGAAGATGAGACCGCTGGAGGCAGACCAACTGTCTTGGTTACTCAGATCATTTTTAACTAAATCAGCATCAGAGACAGAATCGACGCGACGAAAGATCTTGGTGTCGTCAGCAAAACCGGCAACACTTGAATTCTTAACAACATTAAGTAGGTCATTTACATAGAGGAGGAAAAGGATGGGACCTAATATACTTCCTTGAGGTACTCCCGAAGACACTGCTTCTTCAGAAGAAGTTGCACTAAGAGCAGTAACGCGCTGTCGACGATCATGTAGATATAAAGAAAATCAATCAAACAGAGATCCACTGATAGTGTATCTTTTAAGTTTGGTGATAAGCGCAGCGTAACTGACCTTGTCGAAGGTCTTATAGACATGTCCATGAAAATAACATCTGTTTGTTTACCCAAGTCTAACAGAGAACCAATGTGATTGAGCACCTCAATCCATGTTGTGAGGTGTTGATTAGTTCCAACAGATGATCACGCAGCTTTCTCAGCACGCAGCGCTCGAGGACTTTCGACACAATGCAGAGGAGTGAAACGGACGACAGTTCTCATCGTGGGTTTTGTCTCCTTTCTTGAAAACTGGTATGATGTTAGCCAGTTTCCATTCCTTTGGTAAATAGCCACCATTGAGAGATCAATTAAATAGAGACCTTGACGATGGAGCAATTTGATGGGCAGTTTATTTTAGATATCTGGGAGGTATGCCTGTTGTTTTGTTGGTATCAAGGTTTAGAAGAACAATTAAAACGTCCTCGAGGCAAAGATTCAATTCCGATAGAGTAGATTCGCAACCGGTAGTGGAGGGAGAAGTTAATGTTGAATCAATAGACCTTTCCCCTTATAACCAAAATTTTGATCTAGGCAAGTCTAGACAAATATTTCATCACAGCTTGAAAGAGCATCACAAAATTAGTAATATTCCAAAGTTTCGTTGCGAAATGTTGTAAAGTGAGGAAAATATAGCCTTGCGAAGTTTGCAATTTTCAGTCATTTTGCAGTACAAACGGGAAATTGCAGCCCCAACACCCGAATCGGATGTCAATTTCCCGTTTGTAATACAAAATGCCTGAAAAACGGCAAACTTCGCAAGGCTATATTATCCGCATTTTACAAGATTTTGCAATATTACACTTTGGAATATTACAAATTTTGTAATGCTCTTTCAAGCTGTGATAATATTTTTGTCCAGATCGAAATTTTAGTTATAAGGGGAAAGGTCCATTGGATTGTCGTTGCCGTTTAGATCAGATGAAAAGTATACATTGAAAAGCTCTACAATGTCACGAGGGCAGGATGCTGACTGAACTGAATAGCTCTTTCCATTTCATCCATCCTTCTTGGACATGCTTATATGCAGCGATTTTAATTTCCCCGAGATCTCCTGGAAATCTCTGGAACTAACAACAGGTGTTGATGAAGTGCAATTCACTGAGCAATTGAATGATTACACGTAACGCAACCGAAAACATTTCCGACACGAGGGAATCATGTACTTGATCTTGTCATTACCAATGTATCGGTACTTACCTCAGCTAAAAGTGGATTAATAACCCTACAATTGTTTTTAATCTGAAAACATCAGTCAAAGCAGCTCCCAGCTTTTGACTATAGAAGAGGTATTATTTCTAAGTCACTATTACTTTGATGGACTGGAAACACTTGATTTATGTTCTGTAATTGAGTCGGAAATGGTTTAGAGTACAGTATATACACAAAAGAAGAGAGAGTTGTGCGGTGACGAACAAGGCAGGAAGCTTCCTGGGAGCACAACCTGGAGACAACAATTTCCTGCAGACCAACGAAGTATTTTTGTGCTAAATCTATACATGTGCATAAACATATAGTGTTCTAGCTGTCCATGGTTTTAAATTCAAGGATGTCTGTCAACCCTATGTTGTTGCGCCCATAGTAGGACATGGGTGTTAAGGGTTTCCTTCAAATTTTCAATAGCAAATCTTCATTCAAACGAATTTCCTGCAGCTGTTTAACAATTTCCTGCGAGCAGTGCTCGCCTATTTTTTCCACTCCTGGTGACGAAACAAAAAAATTAGTGACATAACAATAAAATTCATGGCTCAATAATGAAATAATTACATTACGTAGATTATTACAGGAAATTACACGGTTAGACAAGTATAAATGAAACATCGCACCAAGTGTTTGGGAAAATATTTACAATGCAATGGCCATGGGCGTGCGGAATTCTTGAGGGCGCGCATTCAGTTTATTCTGCCCGGCAAACCAAGCCAAACGTTTCCAAATTTGTCATCCAAATTTATTTAACCAAAATTTTATCAATTTGTCCTTGGGCAATGCCCATTAGTGGGCTATTAGTAAAACCAGGAACATCGGAACAACAACAAAAATTTGATTTGTTAAAAATAATCAAATCATGTACCGGGGAGGTGGAATTATTGTTGGAATAATTATTGCATAAAATCTCCTTTTATTCTGACTTGCAAATAGCTATTAATAATCCCGGCACAGAAATCAGTTTCAGCACTCAGCAGTAAACTTTACTTTTCTGACAAATTAGGGTAAATATATATACAAAGATTATATATATATATTATATAATATATATACAAATATATACAAGATTCGAGCTTTTCCATTCGCCTTTCGGTCACAATTGTACATAGCAAGGTTTTCCAATTCCGAAGTTTCACAAAGTAATACATTTATGCACGAAAAATAGAAATCAAAATCAAACCTAAAATTGTTATTTGTCGAGAATAGCTATCAAATGCGTATACAGAGGTCAGCCTAACTTTGCTTATTGTTGAAAACATGACCTTTGAATGGCGCGTGTTACATAAAACCTTTGGCATTTGGCCGGTTGGGTGCAGGGTTTGAATCAGGGCGCTTATATAGTGGGCGGTGCAACGCGCTGATGTCGCGCTGATCGATGTGTGACTGCCTCCTCCGCAGGCCCTCGTTGCGTCATGGGAAGGTCACGATCTGGCGAGGGCCTGCGGAATCTTGTAAAAAAAATGGCGCCGGCGTCACGTCAGCAAGTAAATTTCTACATAATCTTGAATATAAACAGATATAAAAAAGCGGCGTGAAACTTGTAAATTAAACTGGCGACTCTTAGGACGTGGAAGGAAGCATTTTTTAACGATAAGGTTTGTTGTCCACACCAACGTTGCACGAATAAAACTGCTTTCTTTAACGAAGCAGGTTCAAAACAACATTTATTCATTTTACAAGATTCCGCAGGCCCTCTCGAAATCGTGACCTTCCCATGACACAACGAGGGCCTGCGGAGGAGGCAGGATGTGTGATGCGGAAAAGGACTGGCACGAGCGTGCTTTTCGGCAAAAGTTGACAAGGAGCGTGATTTTTCCTGCTGTTGTATTTTTGCTGTTTTTTCATTAACTACGAAATTCTTGAGGGTGTTTTTGCACTGTAACGACGAAGTAGTAACTAGTGTATCGTACGAATGCTTGTTTGGCCTGTATAGTTGAATTTTAAAAGAAATATTGAGGATAATGAGTCGGGCTTTTGATGACTTCAATGAAGGGAAATTTTCAAAACAGCATTTGGGCATTATAACAAACGTACTTGCAGGGAGGTGAGTCCGGGATTGGACGCACCGAGGGTGGCTGGAAGTTTCCCGAACTTACCGAGCGAAGCGAGGTGAGTTCGGAAAACTTCCAGCCACCCGAGGTGCGTCCAATCCCGGACTCACCGAACCTGCAAGTACGTTCATAGGCGTACCGGGCGGGGGGGCGGGGGGGGCGGCAGCCCCCCCCAGTTTTTTGGGCAGTCGGGCAATATTCGATCAACAGTCGGGCAATTTTGGTGTCCAAAAAAAAAAAATGGGACAAATTCAGTAAATTTTGTCTAAAATTAAGTCAATTTTCGCAAATGTTGTGATTTTTGGAAAATTTGTGTTATGTTCCGAAAAATATTGGTTGTCCGGAAAATTTTTTTGACCCCTAAAATGGTACAGTGACCGAAAATTTTTTTGGCGACGGGGGGGAAGGGGCAAGGGAGGCCAAAATAATTTTTCCGGAAAAATTTTTTTGGACTAGTCGGGCAGAATCCGAAAAGTCGGGCAATTTTCTTTCCGCCCCCCTAATTTTTTCCTTCCGGTACGCCCATGAGTACGTTTGGTTTTTATCCCATACACCGAGCCATACACACATTTGTAGCTCTTCGCGATATATTCGCCGATGTTTTGTGAACATTTTCCCGGCCAAAAAAATCACTGGGCAAGAAAATACTTCTTTATCTACGTCTACATTACCTTTACTGCATTTTTTCTTTGGTTTTTCTTCAGTCTCAGTATGTTAGTCACCGAAAAAAGTTATTTAAAGTTTAGGTTTATCGCCTATAAATCTTGTCCGCCATATTTGTTATTGTTATTGCAACGTAAGCAGTTTAGCGGGTGAGCTCGGGCGAAAAGCAGGTGAGTTCGGCAAAAAGCAGGTGAGCTCGACGACAAGCTCACCTGCTCTAAACCAATCAGAAAGCCGCTTTTAACACAGGTATGGGATAAGGGAGAGAACTTGGCTTGGGAGAGAACTTGGCTTGGGAGGGAACTTGGCTTGGGAGAGAAGTTGGCTTGGGAGAGAAGTTGGCTTGGAAGAGAACTTGGCTTTATAACAAACGTACTTGCAGGGAGGTGCGTCCAATCCCGGACTCACCAAACCTGCAAGTACGTTTGGTTTTTATCCCATACACCGAGCCATACACACATTTGTAGCTCTTCGCGATATATCGCGCGAGCCATACACACATTTGTAGCTCTTCGGCTAAATCTTGTCCGCCATATTTGTTATTGTTATTGCAACGTAAGCAGTTTAGCGGGTGAATTCGGGCGAAAAGCAGGTGAGCTCGGCAAAAAGCAGGTGAGCTCGACGACAAGCTCACCTGCTCTAAACCAATCAGAAAGCCGCTTTTAACACAGGTATGGGATAAGGGAGAGAACTTGCTGGCTTGGGAGAGAACTTGCTGGCTTGGGAGAGAACTTGCTGGCTTGGGAGAGAACTTGGCTTGGGAGAGAACTTGGCTTGGGAGAGAACTTGGCTTGGGAGAGAACTTGGCTTGGGAGGGAACTTGGCTTGGGAGAGAACTTGCTGGCTTGGGAGAGATCTTGGCTTGGGAGAGAACTTGGCTTGGGAGAGAACTTGGCTTGGGAGAGAACTTGTTTTGGGAGAGAACTTGTTTTGGGAGAGAACTTGGCTTGGGAGAGAACTTGGCTTGGGAGAGAGCTTGGCTTGGGAGAGAACTTGGCTTGGGAGAGAACTTGGCTTGGGAGTGAACTTGGCTTGTGCGAGCCAGCTCAGCTAGTCTCCTTTGCAGCCTGTTTGCAGGTGCATTCCAGCCTGGCTTATTCAAACAGCCCCTAATGCAGAACATTTAAGTGCTAATGTAACCAGGCCTTACAATATCGGTCGGTCACAGACATTGTCCGACCCATTCATCAAATTGTCCGATGTACAGAGGAAACCACCGGACATATTTTGTCCGACCTAAGTGAAACTGAGGTCTATTGTTTGTCCGACCCGATTGTATTGGTGTCCGACCGAACTGTAGCTTTGTCTGACGCTTTCTCCACGCACGTAAATCAAAATGTACCCTAGTCCAGAACCAGAGTTTGTATAAAAATGAACCGAAATGTTGCGGGGCGGCCAGTGAAATGGTGAGGTGGAAAACGGGCTTAAGTTATCGAAGTCGTACTGCTATCATTGGCAAGCAAGTTAATTTTGGCTTGGAAATAAGTATGAATGACACAAATTATTTAATATCTTCACAACATTTAGTTCAGAATGAATACATTATGCTGACATTAATTCGCGTCATTCAGACTTATTTCCGACCCAAACTGAACTGAAGTCATCGGACATATGTCCGACCCAAACCCAAAGTCATCAGACATTTTGTCAGAGGGCCCTGTAAAAGATATTTTAGGGCCTGTGTAACAACATAACTAACATTGACTTCTAAATTCCCCTTACATATGTATGTAATAGGCAAGTCAAGCACATTTGTAAAATTCACTCAAACATCTCTTCTTGGGCAACAAACTTAATTATTAGCTACAAACAATGTGCTCCATCTTGTTTGTTTACCCTATACCAGATGGTTTCACTCTGCAAACAAGGTGGGAATAATAAAGTATTTTTTTCAAAATGTGGATGCAGCAATGACAATTTCATTCAATTATCGTTGTAAGAATGTCTTCTTGTATCCTGTGTCTATTCATTTCGGAGCAAATTTGACATAAATGTACACCAATGCTTTCAGAAGAATACTTTTAAATCAAATTTCAAGATTGTTATATATTTACCATGACTAACTATATTATAACTTCATGTGAGAAATGTGGTACCAATTATTACAAAGTTCAGTATGAATTAAGTTAATACATGTACTGGATGTAATTAATGGTATTTGGCTGATACAGACAAAGTAGAACAGTGGCAGTGATGCATGTCAAATCCTCTGTCTTTCCAAAGAGATTAAATGGTATTAAAAAATTCTGACAGACATGTATTTATTTTCCATTTTGTAAATGTGTCAAATGGCATTAATCTTACTGATGGATATTGTTAAGCTATCAACCATAAATCCTCAGGAAATGAGCTTTTCTTATGCAATCTAATGATTTCCTGGGAGGGAACAAACTGTAAAAGCATTACAGTGTTTTGTTGCCATTAAGCAGGAAGATATTGTGGGCAAGAAATCAACATAATATTTTTATACTGAACCTGTCAATATGCAGGTACAAAACAAAATATTCATAAAAAATGAAGAGGCATGAATTTTGTGAATGTCCAGATTCATGACCAATTCAAGGTCTTTGTCCAAATCTGACCTGCAGGAGCATTTCAAATGTTGAAAACAATCAGTAATCTATCATGTTGGTTTTGTGTATTATGGCAAGACAGTAAAACTTCATGTACTTAAATTGTTGTCGGCCCTCCCACCTTTTAAACTGAATCAAACCGACATTATTTGTGGTGGAAATATATTTCGTTTCTATTAATAACACTGCTTCTTGCTGCGAGGTATGCAGCTTAAAACCTTGCTAAGTAAATAAAGACGTCGCAGAGCTTTTAATGTAAATTGAAAAAGACAAAAGGCATTAAAAGCAACTACGGGGTACAAGGTTAAGATACAATATAAAGTTCGTTCAACTCCATTGACGATCCATTAAGAAGCACAGCTATTTACATCTATAGGATATTCCCTCTGCGAAGCAAAATACACGAGTTTACCCCTGACTAGAAGCGGTCAAAGCTAGGGCTTTGTTTTCCTTCACATGAACGTGCGAGTGATGAGAATGTCTTGTTGCGAGCCTAGTTCACTCTCACATACGAAAACAGACATTCCCTTCCCCAAACAATATCGCAAATTCTCACGCAAGCAACATGCATTTCAGAACTCTTACTGAGTCAAACATCAATACGAAATCGCCATTAGCGGACAAAACGAAATTGTTTGAATTAGTCACACCTGCGACGTGCGATGTTTGGTCTAGCAAGAAAAACAACATGTATATGTGAAATTTAGTCAAATTACATCGCACGGGAAATATAACAATTAACTTCAATCGTGGAGGGTATTTCAAATTCAGACAAGAGTAAAGCAAAGCGGCTGAATATTAATGTTCAAAGGCATATATAAATGTTCAAAGGTATATCGCCATTGTAAAATAAGACAGTTGCCACTTCTTAGGCTCTTCCAATGTAATTACAAAGTTAGGTTTTTGTTTGCAACAAGTTTCGAAGAGATATTCATTGTGCGACGTAGTACCGCAAAATATAGTCAGTCTTTCGCAACTGTACATTATGAAAAATATACAAGAAGATCAAATATCATACATGTCAATGTCACAGGAAAATAATAGACAAGTGTTGTATTATAATACTGCTGCGTTGTAGCTCTGTGAAAGTGGGAGGAAACGTAATATATAGGGATGAAGATTCTTCCACAAACGAGATATCTATCAAGCTAGTTTGTGATAGTAAAATAATGGCAAATAATTAAGAGTGTAACCCCCAACGATATAATGCGTTTATAATACAGATCTGTCCTCAAGTTGGCGGGTATGCTACTCTAATGGCTCACACGTTCAAAAATCAAGCTATAAATACAAACGGCTCTTGTGAAATATGATCACTGCAATCAAGAAGTTTGTCTTTAACCGAAAAATATCGCTTACTTTGTCTTCCCTCGCCATATTAGAACCCAATTTATGTCGCAATTAACCGCCGCCGACATCGCGTTCGAATATTTCCTTCGCTTCGTTGTATTCGAATGATTTAATTTAGTAGAATAAAGAATATTTACGGCTGTTGAGTAGGGATGTTGCGTTAGATTGAAATATACAGTCACATTCAATTACTTGCTACATTAAACAAGCAAACACACTTTCTAAAAGCATTAATGAACAGTCTAAACATGGGCTAAATCTTGTTAAAAACTTACAATGAACCAGAGCTCTTTGACGTTAAAGATCCTTTAACCACATCTAACAAATGGATAAAGATTAAAATTAAATCATTGCTGCTTACGCGTTCAACAAGGCCGTCTGTTCGCTGTTGGCTCACAGCAAGCTGTAGCGACATAAAGAACTATGTTCCTTCCAATACAACTGCTTATGAGCGTCAGAACGAAACAGACAGCTTGCCTAGAAATATAGTATTTTCATCTAGCTAAACGAACGAACAGCATTTTCTCAGTTTTGCTCCTAAATGTCATGTCTAACGCTAGGTGGTGAAATCGCTCCTATTCCATAATTATACTGCAAATTGAGCATGCTCGCAAACCAAACAAACATTTAGTGAGAAGAATAAGCAATAATACAGACTTACTTACCGCTTGAAGATAACACTAATGTTAATAAAACGATGATAATGTAATAGTCCATCGTAAACGACTTGTTCCTTGCTTGACGAGTGTCTAAAATCTGTGTTCTATGCTTGACACCCAGCCGCTTCATGTCAAACGACACAATATGCCTTCCCCGCAGGATGCATTCCTCGCATTAATTACACGAGCTCAAATTGTTCAAAACACACACACTAGCCCCTCCCCCTGTGTCACATAAACCAACGTAAAAACACGCAATTCCAGCAAACAAGCTTCGCAAAAAACAAAAGCTCAGCGCCATACAGACCATACAGACTTATCCATCTCTCAGGCTTATTTCTTTCGTAGTAAATGGTTTCTTTATTATTATCATTAATTATACGAATTTAAAATAAATCGTTATTGACATGAAAACAATTGCATATAAAGGCCCGGTGTTTACTAGAGTCTAGCTCTCGGAAAATATTAACAGCATCGGCATTGAGCAATTGAGTGCGTTAAGAAACGCCACAAATATCATTTTTGAAGACTTAAATCAGGCGAATTGAGGGTAAAGACTTTTAAATCGTCCACTATGAATCTATGATGGCTACAAAATTCAAGCAATAAAATAAGTCGACAATGTCTGTCAAAGATGAAGTATTAGCAAAGCTGCTTTAAGGAATCGACCAATCAGTGCAAGCATTTCACGTCATGTGATCTCAAAGTACGAGCGTTATTTACTGTCTGACTCTACAGGGATCACTTTAGAAGCAATATTGAAGTTTGTATTTTTGGAAAACAAAAAAATACAAGCTGTTGTCGAAAACAGATGCTTTCCAAAATATTTCTGCCCTCATAGAAGTTGCTATACTCATTGAGAAGATCAATTTTTTTATCAAAAAAAGTTTAAGAAATTCAATCGCAAGATGAAGTTGATAGTCCGACCACAAGTTGGCGCTGAATAACTCTTAACTATGTATTATGAATTGTAGAAAAACAAAATATCGGGACAATTGTGGAGGGGGATTTATATATTTATACCCACACCAAATAGACCAAATGGTGTGGGGATACCTCCCCCCATCCGCCCAGGATGGACGCTCTTGCAACTTCTCTGTGTGATGAATTTGAATCTGTCCTGGCAAGCAGCAGCTGCGAGTTGGCTCAATATCGTGACTGAAATCTGCATCCTGATCCTCTCAGTCATCCAAAGGCTGTAATGGCGCAACACATGTGCTTGAAATGAAATCTTAGAAGTTAGAATTGAAAAAATGAATCTATTTTATTAATTAAGCTTTCAATAAAGTTTGGATAAAATACAAAAATACTTCGCAGCTTTCCAAGATCTTCGTTAACACTAAAGTCCAGTTTTTTTTTCTGTTTTTTTTTTCAAGTGTGCTTGGTAACTTGACATTAATCTTTGAATTTTAATACGATTATATTTCATTCTCAGCAGGCGTTCAGTGATCTGTCGGCTTAATAATCAAAAGATTTAGACAAACTTAAGACGGATTCATCTGGGGTTTTTTGCATTATTGCACATTTTAATCATTATTCCCGCATGCTTTATATCACTAATCAGGCATAAGACTATTATACCCTCGATTATACCGTCATTTGAGAATGAACAATGCTGGATAAAGGTCACGTGGAATCTCCCTGTTTGTCCAGTCACGTAGCCTTTAGACCATAGAAATAATAGACAAAATTTATCCCCAAAGACAAAGTACAAATTAGACAGCAAGACAAAACGTTTTGACTATGAAAACTCAGTTTTAGCTTTGTTTATACTTTGTAGCTAGTTTGCACTCCTACTCAAATTCAACATGGCGGATTTATAAGGGCATTTTTTTTTTTTTTTTTTTCAAATAGCTTGCTCGCAGCCGTTGTATTTCTTACGCCAAACGACGAAAACCTAACGTGAGAAATACAACGGCTGCGAGCAGGCTAGTTTTCTAGATTTTTCCTGGAGGGTGTTCAGAGACGAGCTACTAAATTTATACTTCATGATTATGAGTTGTCTTATCTTGAGCGTCTTAGGAAACTTAATTTATTGCCTATATCTTACTGGCTTGAAATAAAGGATCTCATCTTTTTTTTTCAAATGCAAACAAGGCCTCTACGACCTAGATATCTCCTCTTTTGTCACCTTTTCTTCTAATCGCTCATCTCGCACCCGTTCAAGCAAGGACAACTTGCTTCAAGTCAATCCGTGCAAAACCTCTCTTTTTAGAAACTCTTTTTTAACCGAATTGTCTTTCTATGGAACAATCTCTCCCCAATCATTCGTAACAGTTCGTCTGTTTCATCCTTTAAGTTCCAGCTCCATTCTCACTACTCTTCTCAATAGACTCTTCTTTCGATGTTAACAGAATGCGCACTTGGAAAACCTACTGCTCTAAATGCCGTTCTTTCAACTTAAGCTGTTGCTCATAATCTAAACTATTAATTTTTATATAGCTATGTAAATAGTGTTCTAGTCCTTGTCTTTAATGTATGTCTACTTATTGTATTGTATCAGGTTGGTCTTTACATGGGACTCATGTCCTGTTGACCATACCTTCAATCATTGTTATAATTTTCGTATGATTGTAAAGTTAATGAATAAATAAATAATAAATAAATAAATAACAAAGGGCATTTTTGTTTTCAATTTGGACACCGGCCACGTGACCAAGCACGCATTTTATGTCTAAATAATATTTCTATGCTTTAGACACTGATTGGCTACAGCTTGAGAACATTCGCATGAGAATACACGCGTAAAAACGAATAAACTGTTCCCGGTTGATATCGACAGGCTTGAGCAAGGTTGTGCTGCATCCTCGGAACAAGTTGTCAACAATGTTGTTACAGCACTTTTAATTCAGTTGTAGCCGCGCAAGCGCAGTCATACATCAGAGGATTCAGAGCAGGCTTGAGCAGGCGCATTTCACCTCTCATGTGAAAAATCGTGGGTTTTCTCCGGGCGCACTGGTTTCCTCCCCGGCACAGGGAATGTTGACAGGGTCTGTTACTGAAGATAAACATAGTTAGGAAAGTTTGTAAAGATAAAATACTCAAGACTAGGTAAATGATATAAATAAGCGTAATAAGATAAACATAGTTAGGAAAGTTTGTAAAGATAAAATACTCAAGACTAGGTAAATGATATAAATAAGCGTAATAAGGACCAAACTAGAGTTACAGGAGATGGATCGAAAGACTAGGAAATTGCTGACGACATATAGTATGCACCCAAATATAGATATAGTCAGATATAGATAGACTAGATTGGAAGCGAGTGGAATGAGGGCGAGGATCAGACCATACTATCCCAATTTCGTCGGGTGTTCACCCGATTTTTTAGCAATGTCAATGATGTCCAGGACCAGGGGCCGCTTGTATCAAAGGCGTTTAAGTAGCTAACCGCAGTTTAACTCGCTATCCGCCGGATAAAATTTAAGTGCTCGAGAAATCGCGTTGTATCAAGCCCGTTCAGTGCTATCCACCGGTTAATTTTTGCCCATCCAAATCTTAAACGGTCTCTTGAGAGTTGAGACCGTTTAAATCGCTATACGGCGGATAAACTCGGAGTTTGAAGATAAAACAATGATTATTTCGGTTGAAAGAGCATGGGATACTTATAGAAATACACAATCCTGTTGAGGAGTTATCTTTTTAAATCCAATGAGCAGAAATCCAATGAGCATGAAAAACTCACTTTTAACTGGCTTGTCTTAATTGACTCTTGAGGTTACACTGAGGTCACCAAGGGGCAAGGTCAAGGAACAAATATTCAAACAGTAGTTACAGTATAAAACTGGATCAACTGACAAAAGCCCAACACAGCTCACAGTTTTTGCTATTGCCTTCGACGCCAACATAGTACGCAAACAAACAAACTTAGGCTTAAATTAAAGCTAAAAAAATTCTCTACAGTATTCCCTTATTCTTGAAAAGAGAAAATGAACACATTCTGCGAAAACAATGCCAAGATTTATATAAGACATATAAACCTGCCCGTGCCGAACAAATTTCGGCGGCCATCCTTCTTCTCTTCCACTTTGAATACAGAATATTCTAGCCTCCTCCGCAGGCATCTCTTAATCGTTGAGAACTTATATAATTTAGTTATTCAAATAACTGATGTTCTTATTGGGTTACTGTGCAGGGAGAAAATCTAACCGATTCTAGGTAAGTACCACGAGATGCCTGCGGAGGAGGCTAAGAATATTCCATTTTCATCAAACAAAGTAAAAAAAATAATAATAAAACAATTAAAAACAGCTAATTTATTTTTTATTTAAATTTTCGTCTGAAATTTCAAATCGCTTCATAATGGCCGCCGCCGAAACATCGATCTCGAACCCACCTCCTACTACATACGTCAACAGGGGCCGGTTGTATAAAAACGTAGTTAGCGCTAACTGTAGTTAGCGTTAATCACTGTAGTTAAATCCTTAATTGTAATTAGTTAACTACATGACTTAACTGCGTTGCACAAAACGTAGTTAGTCGGATAGTTAACTAATCGCGTAGTTAACTGTGCGTGGGGCTTGCGTGGGGCGTGTGAACACAAAATTACATAAAGTAAGCAGCGAGTAACGACCACTGACACACATTTTCAACATGATTGTGGACTCGTATTTTGCAAATAGGCGGGAATTTTATTCAAAACACTAGAAAACAGTGAAAAATAAACAAGTCCTACCTACACATTACACTGACATTGTAAAACAATAGAGACAGGTTACAACTTTAACAAAGCTACAATACAAAATTACAACACACGATCATTGCATTCCAACCCATCTTTACACTTTCTAAAGTTAATATGGTTTGGAAAATGATCAAGTTAGAAAAAAAAATTTATACATATAGATGAGTCAACATTGTGCAGCACAGACATAGTCACAGAATACAGTAAACATCCTAAACATGCATGTGCTCCAAGCTGTCCCTGTTTCTTGGTGTATATTGACCATACTTCGTCTTCGAGAAATTGTCCTGTGCAAAAATATGTTCTGTTTTCGTAAAAACACCAAAGCTATAGCGTTTGAAGAGTTTATATTGTCAGGAAACATTCACAGGGAAGATAACCATTGAAAATCTCAGGTAAGCGTTGCTTTTCATTATTGTTTTACTGAAAAATGTTGTTCACTCCTATACAAACGCCATTTTTAACTACGTTTTGGACAGTTAACTATACCCTAAAGCATAGTTAACTTTAACTACTTTTTAACTGCAGTTAAGGCTAACTACACTTTTATACAACCGGCTTAACTACGTGATTATAGTTAACTATTACTCTTTCTCGCCACAGGCCATGTCGCGTCGATCCTGAGCGATCGACGGCTATAAATTTCATACCTTCGGTTCAGTGCATGCTATGAAGACAGAAATACCACCAATCAATTCAGAAATAAAAGATAGACTAGTTCCAAACGATAGTTATAGTCATTAT